GGTACTACTGGTACCTCCCGGACTACGGACTACGGGTACTATTGGTACCTCCCCCCGGACTACAGGTACCTCCCCCCGGACTACGGACTGCATTGAAAGACACATATTCGAAGTGGATGCGAAGGTGGGTCATATCTGGCCGACTCTGGCTTAGAGGTGGGCTACAAGTGCTACAAGCGTCTCAATGGTTTAAGAAGGTCATGAGACAACTCCGCCCACTTCGCCCGGATCTGTGCGCCGTCACGCCACCCTGGGCATTTGCAACCCAATCCTAAGCTAGGTCCGGTCAGATATATCCCACATTCGCATCCTCTTGTACCCGCTATCGGGTCAGCAACCTCCGTGGCGATCCAAGTGGGTCCTGAAACACAAGGATCCGATGCCGCTCCTTTCCTTTTTCAACACGGGGTCCCCAGAAGTCCCGACCCTTTCCCTGGGGCCCGCTGTTCGTCCCGAGTCGTTTTCTGACGGCCCCGCGGCCCAGCGAAGGCCTCCAGGGGAAGAATGGGCGAAGAGCGACAGGCACGCGTTGCTCGAACATCATATTGTGCCGACGCTTTCGTTCCACTTCGCGTTGCCACTGCGCGACGCCTGCCGTGCCTTTCCACGGTCCCATGTCGTTCTCCGTTTTCGAGGCCCATGTTCTGCACGTAGTGCACAATAATTTCTCGTTGAAGTTTCTGCGTCCGCGTTCCGAGCTTCCAAGACGGCCCATACAGGCACCCAAGATGACCCAAGATACCTGGAAGACGCGCCAAGATGGCCCCAAGCCAGCCAGATCATGATGGCCTGAAGACAAGCCAAGATGCCACCAAAAGGTCCCAAAACAGCACCAAGATGACCTCCAACATGGCCCGACAGAAAAATCATTGATCCCCCGACTGATTGTCGAATGATGTTCGCCATCTGCCCGACACGGCGTGAAACCAGCCTCACGGCGGCCCCCAGGCACCCACCATACTGCCAAGAGGGCCGGGAGACGGTCCAAGAGAGCCCCAACACAAGCACCCTCGACGGCGCACGACGTCCCAAGGAAGGCCCAGGGGAGAGCACTTTAACTTGAAAGCCCCGGGGAGAGCGCTCCGATTTCAAAAACACATTACGCACCGCGGGGAATAAGCAACCATACTCATGCTTCAGACTGGCAGTTCAACAGCGACGCGCAACGACCAAGCAACAAACACGAAATACAATAACAACAACGAGGCAACACGAACGATGTCGAGCGCTGTGTCCTCATTCTGACAAGACTCGTGAAATGCAGTCCTGGGAGCGCTGAGTTTATAGAGGGGTCGGCGGATGTGGCGTAAACCTACAGAATCGTTATCTGACGGCCAGGTGGGCTGGCGAATGCCTCCAGACAGAACGGGCGAAAGAAACACGCCTTGATTTCTTCCATGCGTGGGATCTCTAAGATCCCCCTCGAACCAACGCCGATACCGACACCGGCTCGATGCAGAGATGGGCCCCGCGGCAGGGCCAGACCCCCGACGTCGTGATTTTTCCACACCGTCGACCCCCAGGGGTCGGGACCCCCTCGCTGGGACTGGCTTCTCGTCCCGAGTCGTTTCTTGAGGGTCCCAGGCCACGGAAGGGCCCCCCAGGGGCCGAAATTGCAGTAACAAAAAAAAACACCTCCCGCCGGGATCCGTTCACAACGCGAGGGGGGCCCGAGGGGCCCGCCTCGGCGCACCCGCGCCCGGGTCGCCCGGCGGCGGCGCGGCGGCGTCTCCCGCCGCGCCCGCCGGCGTCCCGCCCATGCCGGGCCACGGCGCGCTGGGCGCGGGCGTTGCGTAAGGGAGGGGCGGTAACGGGGCGAAGAAAGGTGCGCCTCGCGTGCCCTGCACACCCGAACCGCCCTCGCGTTGTGAAAACTCACGACGTGAATCAAATGACGTGAATCAAATGAGAATGAGACGAGACGGTGGTCTCTTTCTGCCGTTGCTGTCCGGAGGCCGGGCCAGGGCGTACAGGTGAGCGCCCGGCCTGCAGCGATCGCACCCTCACGACGGGAGGTCCTTCGCTATTTTCGGCCTTACTGGCCTTCGGCACCGTCAGAACACACCCCAGGATGAAAAACCGGTGCCGGGGAAGGAATCCAGACCTCTGGGGGTCGACGTTGTGAACAAAAGCGCCAGGTCGGGGGTCTGGAAAGGGGCCCGCCTGGGGCCCAACAGGAGCAGGAGAGGTGCAGCGCTGCTCCCCCCCCCCCCCCCCGCGAGGGCCAAAAAGGGACACGAAAGGTGCACGCTTGTCGCTCCCCCCCCTTCTGTGGCAACTCCTGGGAGCCTCCCATACCACCTTGTCGGCTCTTGCGAATCGACCCAAGTCGACGCTAAATCGACGCTACTCGACGCTAAACCGACGCTAGCCGACGCTAAAATCGGTGCGGCCTCATCGACTCCAAGACGCTAGCCGACGCTAATGCCGGGATTACGAGGGTATACGAGGCCCCCATGATTTACCTTGGTGGCGCGAGGAAGGGGGTATGGGGACGGGGGAAGGCTTCTGAGAAGGAGCCGGCTTCTTAGAAGGCACCGGCCCTACACCTCTAGAGAGGGCCCGCACCTTCTAAGGAGCAGGGGCGGTTCTAAGAAGCCTTCCCCCCTCCCTCGAACCCCCTCTGCGCGTGGCCGATTGCCACCGAACCCCCCCGAGGGCGACACCAACACCACCAGGGCGAGGAGATGCGAGGAGCAAGGGGGGTCTCCCTGGTGGTGTGGCCCCCCCCTCTCGCTCGAGACATCCCCAGCCTCCAGCTCGGGGAGGCCTCGTGGACCTCCTCGCTGGAGGTGCACCCCCTGGTGGGTGTTGGTGTCGCACCTCCACCCCCCCCGACTTAACGCAACGCCCGACACGCGGCGCCCCCGCGCCCAGGAGCGGCGGGGGATGGCTGCACTGCACGGCCGTGCCCGCGGGGGGGCCGCCGCCCGGCGCCTCGGGGGCGCGCGGCGCTGCGGGCGCCTGCTGCGGGTCGGACGCCATCGGGGGAGGAAGAGGAGGAGGAGAAGGAGGAGGAGGAGGAAGAGGAGGAGGAGGAGGGGGAGGAGGAGGAGGACCACCATTACCAGAAGTAGCAAGAGGAGGAGGAGGAGGAGGAGGAGGAGGAGGAGGAGGAGGAGGAGGAGGAGGAGGAGGAGGAGGAGGAGGAGGAGTCCGTAGCCATTTTGGCTCAAGCCCCACGTCCCCCCTCGGGGATCTCGTGGGGTTTGGGCATCCGTACCCATTTGCTCGAAGTGCTCGCGCGCCCTCGGCCGCGCGCACCTCGCACGTGGGATGGGGCTCGGTGTGCGCGAGGCCGCCGTCCTCGTCGAGGCGGCGGTCCGCGCGGCTGCCCTCGCCAAGGCGCCGCCGCGCTCCCTGGCCGCCGTCGCCCGTGCGGCCGTGGCGGCCGCTGCGCTGGGCACGGTGCCAGGAGGTGCTGGTGGCGCTGGCGCGATTGTGGGCGTGGTGGCGGACCTCCTGGCGGTGGCGTGGTGCCCGCGCCCGCGGCTCGCGCCGAGCGGCGCAGGCGCCGCCGCCGTCGCCGTGCCGCGCGGCGCGCGGCTGGCGACGTGCCTGCGGCCCCTGCTGCTGCAGCCGCGGCCGAGCCCGACATGGAGGTCGACGGCGATGACGTGCTGGACGACGCCTGGGCTGACGATCTCCCTCCTCGGGTTTCGCGTCGGCTCGGCGGCCCAGCGGCGATCGCGGCCGCGGAGCCAGCTGGTGCGGCCGCTGCGGCGGCGCCGACGGCTGGCGGAGCGGCCCCCTCGGCGGATGCTGCCGCTGCTGGTGCGGCGGCGGCGGGTGGTGACGCGGCGCCCGAGGCGTCGGCCTTGGCGCTGCTGGTGGCGCCACCCGCGGCTGCCGCTGCCGCCGACAGCGTGGAGCCCGTGCTGGGCGAGTCGGCGGAGCGGCCCGCGCTCATCTCGGCGTGGGTCCGCACGCCTGGGGCGCGCGTGGCTGACAGCCGCACCACGCCGCCTGGCCGCTCCACCGACTCCGAGCCTGGCTCGTGGAGGCGGTGGACGCGGCCCCCGGCACCAGCGCGGGGGGGGGAGGCGGGGAAGGGTCGGCGATAATGCGCCCTCCCGTGGAGGGAGGGCGCCGCCTGCCCCTTCCCCCCCGCCTCGCACATCGCGGACCTCGTCGGCGTGGGGTTCGACTGGTTCGTTTGAGGCCCGTTGGACGGGCCTGGCAAGGGCTCTCGTGGGAACCTCGGGAGCGTTTGGTGAGTGCGCAGGAGGAGGAAGTGGAGAAGAGGAGGAGGAGGAGGAGGAGGAGGAGGAGGAGGAGGAGGAGGAGGAGGAGGAAGAGAAGAAGGAAGAGGAGGAGAAAGAGGAGGAGGGAGGAGGAGGAGGAGGAGGAGGAGGAGGAGGAGGAGGAGGAGGGGGAGGAGGGGAGGGGGAGGAGGAGGAGGAGGAGGAGGAGGAGGAGGAGGAGGAGGAGGAGGAGGAGAGGAGGAGGAGGAGGAAGAAGGGGAGGAGGAGGAGGAGGAGGAGGAGGAGAGGAGGAGGAGGAGGAGGAGGAGGAGGAGGAGGAGGAGGAGGAGGAGGAGGAGGAGAGGGAGGAGGAGAGGGAGGAGGACAAGGACCTCCCCATCCTCCCTTCTCCGTCGTCCTACCTATGGTAGTGGTGGTGGAACATCGGCCCATCAGGGTAGCAAAGGGCTGGCGAATCGGCTCACTAAGATTGTGGTTCTTCAGCAACGGAGCACACCCTCCGAGAAGCCCCGCGGGATGGATGTCGCGGGGCACTGGCAGGATTCAGACGAGACCAGGTAGCCAGTGTAGATACTCGAGAGGTCGAAGCAAGCAGACCTGCGCCCATGTCTCTCCCATGGGATCTGTGGCCAGCGATACGAAGCAAAGACATGATGCAAAGCAGGGGACTGACGAGGGGGCGGAGACATGGAGGAAACGATCCGAAAGACAGCAGAGCACTGAAAGAGTCCGCTTCAACAGGGATCTCCCACTGGCGGGCGTTGGAAGCTCGCCGAGGGGGAGTGCCCGCTTCATGCACGCGTGCAGCTGCACTCACACAGCACGAAGCGTACGAAAGAGAAGCAGGAGTAAGATTAAGTCGGGCCTGTCCCACTACAGGGGAATTTTGGACAAAGAATAAATAATAGTCAAAACATGCACTCAAATACTCAAAAATGGTCAACAAAATCGTCCCCATACGATTTTTTGACTATTTTTGAACATTCCTCCTGTAGAGAGACGGGCCCGACTTAAGAGTAAGAGAAGGGAGCGCGGAGCAGCAGGAGGAAGAGAAGGGAACGCGCGTGCTGTGCGGACGTGCACGCCACGCCTGCTGCACGGGTTATACCAACCCGCGGCGAGCAGCAACGTATCCGGTGCCGGAGCCTCGGGCTACGCCGTGCCAGCGGGAACGAGGACGAGACAGGCTCAGTAGACGGCAGAAAATCTACCCCGATAATAACCACCCCGACACGCGAGGCCTTTAGCAAACGCGCCCAAAGAAGAAATCGAACAGGGCAGGGTTGTTTAGCAAACGCCCAAGGCCGTTCAGTAAAAGCCAATTGTCCGGTCCGGGTGGTTTTTCCTCCCGTGGCTCAGTACAGCTGGTTTCCCCCGCGCCTCCCGGCGCTGTTAGCGCCCATATAAATCGAGGACATCGCCTGGCGGCGGGGCGGGCCGAAAGCAGCCGCACGCAGCTGACTTCGCGGCCGCCTTTTCCCTACCCCTCCTCCCTTCGTCCGACCCGTATGTTGGCGTTCCCTGTTTTTTTTCCCCAACCTTCCTGCGTTGGGTTCTCGTTTTGAATAGAGCACTGCTCGCGCATATCCTTCCTTCCTTCCTTCCTTCCCGCCCCCCCGCGTCCCTCTCTTCCCCCCTGCCTGCGCTCGTCGCTGCGTGCCAGCTGGGGGGCTGCGATCTGCGAAACTGTCGCCACTTTCGAGGGCTGCTGGGGGGCCCAGCCCAGAGGGCACCCACGGCGGATTCAAACTGGACCTCGCCATCCCTGGGGGGCTGCGATCTGTAAAACTGTCGCCACTTTCGAGGCCTGCTGGGGGACCCCGCACAGTGAGTACCCACGGCGGACTCAAATTGGACCTCGCCGTCCCTGAGGGGCTGCAATCTGCGAAACTGTCGCCACTTTCGAGGGCTGCTGGGGGGCCCAGCACAGAGGGTACCCACGGCGGACTCAAATTGTACCTCGCCATCCCTGGGGGGCTGCGATGAGTGAAACTGTCGCCACTTTCGAGGGCTGTTGGGGGGCCCAACACAATGGGTACACACGGCGGACTCAAATTGAACCTCGCCATCCCTGGGGGGCTGCGATGAGTGAAACTGTCGCCACTTTCGAAGCCTGCTAGGGGGCCCAACACAGTGGGTACACACGGCGGACTCAAATGAGACCTCGCCATCCCTGGGGGGCTGCGATCTGCGAAACTATCGCCACTTTCGAAGGCTGCTGGGGGGCCCAGCACAGTGGGTACACACGGCGGACTCACATTGGACCTCGCCATCCCTGGGGGGCTGCGATGAATGAAACTGTCGCCACTTTCGAGGCCTGCTGGGGGGCCCAGCACAGTGGGTACACACGGCGGACTCAAATGCGACCTCGCCATCCCTGGAGGGCTGCGATCTGCGAAAGTGTCGCCACTTTCGAGGGCTGCTGAGGGCCAAGCACAGAGGGTACCCACGGCGGTTTCAAATTGGACCTCGCCATCCCTGGGGGGCTGCGATGAATGAAACTGTCGCCACTTTCGAGGCCTGCTGGGGGGCCCAGCACAGTGGGCACACACGGCGGACTCACATTGGACCTCGCCATCCCTGGGGGGCTGCGATCTGCGAAAGTGTCGCCACTTTCGAGGGCTGCTGGGGGGCCCAGCACAGAAGGTACCCACGGCGGACTCAAATGCGACCTCGCCATCCCTGGGGGGCTGCGATCTTTGAAACTGTCGCCACTTTCGAGGCCTGCTGGGGGGCCCAGCACAGTGGGTACCCACGGCGGTTTCAAATTTGACCTCGCCATCCCTGGGGGGCTGCGATGAGTGAAACTGTCGCCACTTTCGAAGGCTGCTGGGGGGGCCCAGCACAGTGGGTACCCACGGCGGATTCAAATTAGACCTCGCCATCCCTGGGGTGCTGCGATCTGTGAAACTGTCGCCATTTCCGATGCCTGCTGGGGGGCCCAGCGCAGTGGGCACTCACGGCGGATTTAAACTAGACCCCGCCATCCCTGGGGGGCTGCGATCTGTGAAACTGTCGCCACTTTCTTACCTCGCTTGTCGCTGCGTTTCGAAGGCTGCTGGGGGCTGCGATTTGTGAAACGGTCGCCACTTTCGAGGGCTGCTGAGGGGCCCAGCACAGTGGGTACTCACCGCAAACTCAAATGGGACCTCGCCGTCCCTGGGGGGCTGCGATCTGTAAAACTGTCGCCACTTTCGAGGGCTGCTGAGGGGCCAAGCACAGTGGGTACTCACCGCAGACTCAAATGGGACCTCGCCATCCCTGGGGGGCTGCGATCTGTGAAACTGTCGTCCCTTTCGAGGGCTGCTGAGGGGCCCAGCACAGTGGGTACTCACCGCAGACTCAAATAGGACCTCGCCATCCCTGGGGGGCTGCGATCTGTGAAACTGTCGCCCCTTTTCGGGGGCTGCTGAGGGGCCCAGCATAGTGGGTACTCACCGCAGACTCAAATAGGACCTCGCCATCCCTGGGGGGCTGCGATCTGTGAAACTGTCGCCACTTTCGAGGGCTGCTGAGGGGCCCAGCACTGTGGGCTTCCCGCTCGTCTTTTTTTCCTGCTCTCCGTTCCCGACTCCCCATGTCTTCTTCGAGTCTGTAGTTGACGCCCCTCGTTCGTGTATGGTTCTCCTGCGCATCATGCCATTGACGCGTGTCCCAAGTAGCTTACATATCAAACAACGGATCCTGCAATGTGATGGTCCGTGCAAGTTTCGGCCAACTCCTCGTTTCCCATGATACAAATGGGTTGGGTACGTCACAGGGTAATTGTTTGCGCGCCCCTGTCAGATCTCTGGCGCTATGCGTGGTTCCACGATCCTGGCACCTCTCCTGTTATCGGGTCGCAGGGGCATCAGCAGAAATGGATGCGGGACGGAGAGCTACCCCTCGAGAAGGGGACGGGAGCTTTGGGGCAGCGTATTGAAAATCACATCGTCGGATGTCTGGGTTCATCCCGCCTCATCTTAGCATGTCTGTGTGTTGTTGTTTCCGTGCGTGTGTGTGTGTGTGACATATGTCTGTTCTGTTGCTGCCCAACGGTCGTACGTGCTCGACCTGTGCCGCGACCTCTAGACCCTAAGCGCATGTGCAAGTAAGGTGAATAATTTGCTCTGCGGGAGTGCCCCATTCTTTTTTACAAGTGGCTGGAATCATCGGCGCGTCGACGGACAAGTGTGTGTGTGTATGTGTCTGCCCGCGATCGGGGCTAACGAGAATACGCTGGGCTCGGCTAGTGCCTTGTCCCGTGCGACGGGGTCCACTCCCCAAGTCTCAATGACTTAATAGCCCCCAGCTGCACCAGCCGTTACATCTGTACCTCCCGAATGGTGTCTCATCGGGCACTTTCACCAGAATGGTGTGCAAAGTGTATGTGTGTGTGTGCGTGTGCGTGCGTGTGCGTTTGCGTATACGAGTGCGTGTGGGTGTGTGTATGTGATGGAGGGTGTGTCTGTGTTTGTGCTTGCGTGTGCGTGTCTGTGTGTATGTGGGTACGTGTGTGTTTTTTCGGGGGGGGGGCGGTGGGGGAGGGGAGGGTGGGTGGGTGGGTGCGGGTGTGATGGTGCGTGTGCTTGCTTGTGTCTGTGTATGTGTATGTGTCTTGGTTATGTGTATGCGCGCGTGTGTTGTGCGTGTCTTTGGTTGTCTGTATGCGCGCATGTGTTGTGTGTATGAGTGTGTGCGTGCGTGCGTTGGTGTACGTGCGTGTGTGCGTGCGTTGGTGTGCGTACGTTGGTGTGCGTGCGTGTGTGCGTGCGTGTGTGCGTGCGTGCGTGCGTGCGTGCGTCTGTGCGTGTGTGGTGTGTGTGTGTGCGTGTGTGTGCGTGCGTGTGTGTGTGTGCGTGTGTGTGTGTGTTTGTGTGTGTGTTGCTGTGCCCTCCGCTGCTTCGCTCTCGCGCCTCCCGCAGCGCCTCGTAGGGCCCCCCTGGTCTGGGCGCCCCTGCCCATCCGTGGGCCCGCTTGCCCGCCACCTGTTGACGCCCCGGTCCACGCCGATCCCCCTCTTGGCGTGGCTGCGCCGCTTGGTGTGCATCCACCGCCCTCACGCTGCGCCACGGTTTCGCCGTCCGCGGCGCCATCGTGGCCGCCTGCGTCCTGCTTCCGCCTCCCGCCGCGCCTCGCAGGCCCTCTGGTCTTGGCGCCTTGGCTAACCTCTGGGACCGTCTGCCATACCGGTCTACAGTGGTGTGGTCTCCGCTTCGCATGTGTTGCTCCCCCTCTCGGCCGCCTGGTCTGCCGGGCTGCCGTTCCCCCCAGGCTGCTGCTCAGCACCGCGGCTGGTCCCCCCCCACGGCGCTCCCCCTTGCCGTAGCTGGTGACTTGCCTGAGCAGGCCCGGCTTCCTCTCTCCCCGTCGCGCCAGGGCCTCTTCCCTTCCATCGTGCATTGCGGCATTAATTTGCATACAGAGCGCCCCCTGATGCCAGATCGCCAGACCAGTCACCCTCTGCCCAGCCGCCGACGCTGTGTGTGTGTGTGTTTGTGTGTGTGCTTGTGTGTCTCTGTGTGTGTGTTTGTGTGTTTGTGTGTTTGTGTGTTTGTGTGTTTGTGTGTGTGTGCGTGTGTGTGTGTGTGTTCGTATGTGTGTGCCCGTACTTCTCACTGGACCCCCATACCGCGCGGCAGCTGGGCCTCTGAGAGACGATCAAGGCGGCCTAGAACTTGACAGGCAATTCCACGCTCCACGACGCCAGTAGCAAGGCACGGGGCTAGCAGGAAGGCCCTCCAAACCTACGTGGGAACTTTGAGGTGAGAGAGTGGGCAGCGAAGGCCCAGAGGCTCCTCGCCTTCTAAGGGGAG